AACTCACCATTCGGGGTCAACAAACTTGATACCGCACCCTCCGATCTTCTTAATCTCCTTTTCGAATTTCCCGCCGGCGAGGCCCCCGCCTCCCCTTGCAGGTTTCCCAATGATGACGTGCGTAACTCTGCGTCGTGCAACGTGCATTGACATCTGAGCACCGTTCTGGGTGAGCATCTGCTTCAGGGCGTGGTCAGATACCAGCGGGAATGTGCTCCCGTTCACAAATATGACTAGCCCTTCGAAGATCGGCCGCTCTTTGCCCGCGGCTTCTTTTGCCTCATCCTCCCTTCTTCTTGATTCCATGAGTGCTTCTTCTTGAGAAACACCCATGCCCTTGTTTGATGACGCCGTATATTGTGGCAGAGTGTCTTTCATCCTCCCGGGCTTGACGAGCATATCAAGAACGCTGTTCGATGCCCTTTGGCGCAGAGCCGGCGGGATCAGTGCCTTCTTTTTCTCATCGTAGTGTTCTGACCCAGCACCCCATGTGTCGCTGAGGCGTTCCCCTCCAGTCCTGCTGGATTGATACTGGTTGTTGAGCTTCTTGCTGCGAGAGTCTCTCCATCCCGTTCCCGGCGTGTTCTCTGGTCTTTGGTGGCCTGTCGACACAGAATTCCATGGGTCAAAGTGACTGCCATGCACGGGCTTGGCTGCCGAGGCTCTTGACGGTACAGGCATCTGGCTGGACTTGAATATATTGCTACCCTGAAGCTCTTGTCTTGATGCCTCTCGACAGTGCGATTCCGGTGATTGAAGCTCTGGTCAGGCTACAATCGTCTCCATGTCGTGAGCACTGTTGGGCAGAGTCGTATGATGCCCACACATCTTTTCCAAAATAACTCAATTCCATTGTTCCTACAGCGACACTACGCGAACTTAGAGCCTGCCCCACGCGCTTACTCTTGGGAATCCTCCCTCGATGACTCGTGCCATCGACATTCCCGACGCGAAGTCACGTGCTTTCGAGCCTCATCGCCATATACTACTTACCCTACACCCATTTACAGATTCACATACCACATGGATGATGGACAAATGGACGAAGTAAGGTACCCGTCAGCTGCATGCAGGTGCTACAGAATATCCAATTCTAATGGTGCGGAGTGTATATTCTGAGACCCTTCGAGTTGGCATCATCTTCAGCTGTATGTATCGTAATGCAGCCGAGTGTCCAACCGTTATCCTTCAATCAAGTTAGTAGGAGCATGTATATGCCTCTACCATGCAAAAGGCAAGCAGAACCCTGCCTGATATGCTTTAACTGTCCTACCCGCTCATGCTACGACGCACAATGCCACGCATATCCATCCAATGCTTTCCATTGATCCTACCTAACCTACATACATACATCCACGTACATACAGTAGCGCAGGCACAGGACATGCCAGATCGACATCTGCAACACGGGCAGATAGATTCTGGCCCACTGGACAGTCGGCAATTATCGTACGGCTTCAGACACGTGTCGAGCAGCGCATTGATTATTTTTTTCGTGGCAATCTCAGATATGTATGCGGCGGGCATCTCTTGATCCGCCACCGTTGCTCCTGAGGGAGATTTACGGACTCTGGCCGCAGGAGGCGCCCATCGTCGTGCAATAAAGGCATTGACGGCGAAATTAGCTGATGATCATGAGGGGAGGAGGGTGCCGTAGACGGGGGGCCAGAGGGTGGTAGATGCGGCCCCTCCGTTCAATTTTCTATGTACACCAAGGCGTCTATTGAGCGTCTCAACAGCACAGGAGAGACGAGCGATATACCTGCGCTTCGTCGTCAAACCGCCCACCAACGGAGAGCAAAGTACCGGCTACATCAGGTCAGGCGTGTTCTCCGGGGTAGGTTACAGTCTGGTGGCTGCTCTGACCATGTCTGATGAGATCTGTATGCAAGGTAGCAATCATACAACAGATCAAGTAAAGTCTGGCTTGACCGGTTTATGCCCCCCTGGAGGCTGAATGATTTTCACTTCCCTACTCCCAGGATCAGCAGAGGGATAAAAAAAAAAGCAGCTAGTGTGCGAGATTTACCATTCGGCCGAAAACCGCGTCCAGCCTCCCTGTGGTGATCTGTGCGAAGGTACTGTACATGCCCTCCTATATGATGCACGGAAGGTCGAGGCCATTATGATTCTTAGGCTCCCCACCCCTTCCCAGCCTCCCGTGCCGCGCCGAGCCTTGTCAGCTTGGATGTCTTGCGTTGAATCTCTGCCAGAAACCAGCTGAACCGCGTCACCCGGACCATTAATTCGGAGGATCGACTGCGATGCGAGTGTTGGATGTAGGTACCCTCCCCAAACGTCCCCGTCCCCTATCCGTGCTCATCAGGGTGGTTTCTCAGCCCCAACGTAACCCTCATCCTTAATGTCATTGTTTATTTTATTATCAAGTTTTATTCTCATTGTGATGTGACGCGTTCCTTCCCCAATCACACCCTGTCTGGTCTGATCAAAGGCCTCTGTCACATTTGGACCCCATAGCGGAATGGACCGGGACTAAATTGTGCATGGAAAAAATATTCAATACTGAACACCACGAGCCTTTGCTTGCCAATTAGGTGTTCGCCCTTTGACTCCGTCGTCTCACCCACATGGCCTGTCCAGGAACCCACAATCAGCTCTCATATTTCTCTCGATCCTGGCCCCTGGCCGCCAGCATGACGCTGCCTGCTCCTTCAAGGCTTGTGCGTGCAGCAGGCTCGTATGGTTGGCCGGTCGGTGGTGGCTGTCTTGAAACGCCACAACCACACTGTGCTCATCGTCCTGGACGGGGATAGGGTTGGAGAGGATGTGGATGTGAGAGTGGATGTGGATGCACCGGCAGTGACGGGCAGGACGACCGACTGGGAGCGTTTGTGCCACTCGTGTGCCTTTCGTACATAAATTATGCGCAACATACACACCTTACATGTACATACATGCGATGCACTCTCCTCTCGCCCAGAGGCGGAAAGGCCTTGTCCCAGCTCCCTTGGGACTCCGATCTGCGAGGGTGTTCCTGCTGGTGCTTATCTTGGCTCGAGTCCAATGTAACGAGCGAGCTCCCCATTGCTCATCATTCCCACCCCCGCGTCTGGCGACGCTGCGCAACGTCAACCCCCTGCCACCCCGGGCCGGTCGCAGCGACGACATACGGCTTTGGCTTGGGGCTGGAACCCTTGCATGTGTCCTGTGAATCTCGTTGTATGCATGTGCCTGCTGCTACCAAATCGCTCCTGCTGCGAGCCTGCTTCGAATAAGTTCGATCTGATTGACGTTGGCGTGTGAGCATCTGGTTCGAGGTGTATGTATGATGATCATTGATGGGCAAACGAAGGTATTCTTTTCGCCTCATCGATCACATTAGCACGGCCAGGCCTTTGATCGACCCCATCTCTCCCCCTCTTTCGACCACACATGCAAGGATATGCCGCACCGTTCGAGCAACACACCTCCACACACACACAATCTGTTTACTGTCTGCAACCGAGTCCTCGCCAACAATCCGTCGGCTACAAGACTGAAGGCTGACATGCACGCCCTACTAACTCAAGAAGAGGGGCGGCTGGAGAAGAGGGAGGGGCGATTTCGCTGCCAGCATGTCATGGTACGATCACGAATCTCTTGGGACGGGACAAACCTTTTGTACATAGGTACACCACTTGTTCCTTTCCGCTTCTGAAGACTGATGAGATGGTATCAACCATAATCAAACCCACCCCTTGTTTCCGGAGGCAAGCGCACTGCCCAAGTAGGAATGAAGTTTACAGCCTGGTCTGCCTCAGGCCAATGCCCAGTCGGCGTTAGAGAAGAAGGTGTGCTGCCTCACGGGAAGACTAATGTATGTGCGGAGGATGGTGGGACGATGGATGCTCACCAGATCGTCACTCGACACATCCGTGCGCTATGTGCTGGCCTATGGCGACGGCCTGCCCTATGCACAGACCTGTACTGTGCTTGAAGACCTGAGGAGAAGGATGACTGGTAGATGGCATTGCTTTGCTTTGCCCTGTCTGTCTGTCTTTCGCGGCAAGGGGAAAAATGGCCGGGGACTTGGTCAGCTTGTCGAGGGTAGCAAAGACAACTCGACGTTGTATGGGTCCGAAAATAGCCGTCGAGATCGTGCATACTCGGAATGTTACCACAGCGAACAGGTAACAAGTCGCATACATGGATTCGTCGTACCGGGCTCTCCAATTTGTTTACGTGATTATGGTCTCATTCCCAGCGACGGAAATATGTCACCTGGGGTTGCGATAGCAGTCAATGGACTGTAACACAGCATAGAAGAGAGGAAAAAAAGCTTTCCCAGCCAGGGTTTGCCGTGGTCTCTCTGCTCCACTAGGTTGGCTTGCGTGAACAAGGGACCCTTGGGAAGCTCTCGACCCTGGGCTCCAGCCGCTGGCCAGGGGCAAAGTCAAAGTTCTGCGCATGATTCTTGGAGGTTAGGTTAGTTGGTACGTGAGAAGGTACAAGGCGATACTGCAGGCGGAGATGACATGTACATGCGCAGATATATGTACATATATGCCGAGCGCACATTACGCGCAGCGGTAATTATCCCCGCGCCGCTCTCCGCAAGAGCTTGTTCCATGAGAGATGAAGGTCAGCTTCATCTGGCGATGTTCATGGGGTGGTGGATGGGGGTGTGGTCTCAACAGGACCTCCAGACGACCTCTGGATGGGGAAATGGTTGGCGAGCATTGCTGGTGGAGCAAAGATGTGTTGGCTCAGAGAGGGTCATCCATCATCTGCCCATTTGTCACCAGGACGTAGATAGAGCAGTTGGAGCAAGGAGCAGAGTCCGGTCTTTCTTCTGGTCGGTCCTCTTTTCTCTGCCTTTCCTGCTTTGGAGGAGGGAAGGAGTGGCTACGGGCAAGCCTCATCCGAGTCCAGGCAAGTCAGACCTCAGTGTCTTGGGAGGTACTTTCTCAGGAAGAGGCGGTGAAGACGCCCGTTCGGCCGCTAAACCCCTTCTTGACCCCCACTGACACACCCTGAATGATTTTTGGTGCCAGGCTGGGCTAACGCTCAGGCCTCAGGCAGCCATACATCACCTGCCCAGGTACGGACATGTGGGCGTGTGCTTGGGTTGGTACCGCCTCTTTCGTCGTTCGTCCATTGAAGACTCGCGCCTTCTGATAATTGATAGCTCCTGTGACCTTAATCTCCCTGATATACCGTATGTCTAGCAGAATCTTGCCCCTTTCCACTGCATCTGTCAGTCTGGAGCCGGAGGCGATGGCACCGTGATCAACTCCGCCGTAGACTTGACGCTGCTTGTGATGACCAACAAATCTCAGATCTCTGAGAGGGTCGCAGCTAGAGCGCAGGGGCAAAGTGGATTTACCAGCCCGGGGCGGCCAACAGACATGGCAGGGAGGGTGTCGACGGGCGATGGTGTCGAGTTCAACGCGAGAGGACCTGAACCAATGGCAATGCCATGGGTAGCGGTGCCGGCGGCAGAGACACACTCTACCATCTCACAGCAGGCCATCGCACCAACGCCACGCAGTTGTTCAAAGCACGCCTACCCAGATGGGATATGAACACTCACGCGCACATACGTCGGCAAGCACTCGCGCCCACATGCTTGCGACCCCTTGCGTGTGCGTTGGGCTCTGTCTCATGGAAGTCTAGCGTTTCTACACGACTGGTCTGCTCCATCTAAGCTCCGGCCCGCTGGCAACGTCTGCGTGAAGCCGCGTTCGGCCCCGATTCCTTGCTTCGAGAATTTGTGAAGATGCACAGAACATGTACTGCTAGTGTTTCGTGATGTGCCTACGGACTCCTTACAAGAGCCGATGTACCATATGCAGCAGGCACACCACCACATTACCTCGAAGGGTTATGCTTGATTGCCTCTTCCACCTCCCCCCTAGCCGAGGAATTGATGGCTTTCATCATGGGACTCTTGGGAAACATGCTCCACCAACTCTTCTAACTTGGCGACCTCGCTTGGGACAGCCAGAAATGAAGGGGGAAAAATTCAAAGGCCACGGGATGGAGAGGTGTCTAACAAACAAACGAGAATCAACACCCTCTCTACTCTACCACACACGTACCCACACATCATTGGCTCAAAGTTTATTGATGCGAAGCCAACTCCCCTATCTATTCAACAATGGCAAGTCAGAGAGAACCATGCTAGTTCGAGGGGGTGGGATTGGAGCTTGGAAGGTGTGGTAGAGACGTGGTGAACGCTCATTGGACTCTGGCTTGGAGCCGACCTGGCTGACCACTGAGCTCAACCATGTGTACGTCCTCACCAGAGACTATTTGCGATCTGTAGTAGCCCAGACACAACCCCCGGAAGCCTCTTATTTGATCCGACTACGGGAATTGTGCATCTAAACACCGGCCGTGCGCTCTCGCATTCTGCTCTCAACGGAGGATGGAGGCTGGATAAGCATTAAGCACTGTGCGCACCACGCACTACGCTTGAGTGGCTGGTGCTTTGAAAGAATACGCCGCAAGGTCAGACTGCTTAGAGGGTCATAGGGAAACCGACGCAAGCGATATGAGAAGGAGCTTGTACTCAGGAGTTGACACAGTTCCGGGTTGGGCCATAGTTCCGTATCCTCTCATTTGACGTCTGAATAGCAATTTGCTGCTCATCTACCTTACATCAACGACAAATCAGAGGGGCCACATTCACCGGGTTTCGTTCGTACGAGAATCGGAGCTTCTCAAAGCCGGAGCTCGCTGATTGAGCAAAGCAACCCTTGCCCAGCATGAGAGTCCCCGATTTCCTCCACCTTTGTGGAGTGGACACAGCAGATTTGGGGGTAAAGAGACAAGAACGGGGTGAGCAAGTTCCAATTGAACCCAGCCGGCAGGGGGGGCCTTGGTTGCCTAAGTGTGGACACTCAGCTGCATCCTTCATTGGCAGTATGTGTCTTTGGTCTACATAGCCGCCTGTGCATATCATGCAAGTGCTTGAGCCAACATGGCCTTAGTGCGTCCATCCCGTTCAGCAATCCCTGGTTGCTGCTTAACACTTGCAGGGTATCGACCAGGGGAGAAGAGACACAGGCGAGATACGGAACGGACACCAGTTATTGCATTCCCTCTCAAGAAAATGGCTGGAAACGAAGAACTGACTCAGTCGAAAGTGAAGGGGGTGGATGTTTGCGGGGTGGATAGATGGAAGGTAGGTATTGTCATCAATGCAACTAACGTGTGAATATCATTGTACATTGTCTTGGGTAAGTTGATGGAACTTTTTTTGGGCTCAGCATCTATCTCCCTTGCTAGCATGTGAAGCCCACGAGAACGAAATTGGCTCTCATTAAGCGGCGCCTTTAGCGCTTTCGCTCAGCCATTTGTCGTGGGTTGAGACATGTTGATACTCCTGGTAATTTGCAACTCGCGGCTACTATGTGCTATCGTCTGATTTTTCCTTTCTTTTTCCGCACCGCCAAGCTGGTTAGCCCTTAAACAACTCAACAAACAGTTTGATAGTGGGTGGAGTCTACGCCACCATACTGAACCGTCATGTACGTATGACTTGCTCCACGCGAGGCAAAAGGGCGAAAAAGAAATATGACCTTTCTTCCCAGCATGGTAATAAATTCAAGGCCCTATTATAATCAATGCTTGGAGGACGAATCAGGTAATTAGTATAACTCGTCTGAACAATCTGGCCACAATCGTCAGGGCCGGATGGGTGTGTGTCCGTTGCAACCTCACAACGTGAACGCTCTAGACTCTGGGTAGGTCCCTGAGCCGCTATTGGAGCTGGACACGGAAGGCAGAGAAAGTGAGGCGGGTACCTCCTCAGTCACACTTCTTTGTGTGTTGTTCCAACCCAGCCCCGTTTTGGGCAATCTCTAGATGGATTATTGGTGGCTGCAGTTTCTGAGAAGCCCCTGATGATGATATCTAGCATCGCAGCTTTCACATCTGCCAGGTACTATCATCCAGGAAACATAGCGCTGCTAATCAGGGAGCCGGGATTCTGTCGTCGAATTTCTATGCATGCATGACGAGTTGAGGCTCCCTGCCGTGCAGTCAAGCGTCTGCACGGCGGGTAGCCGGGGAGCCACCAGGTCGTCCCGAGCCGACGCTTCGCATATGTAGGCGTGTACTTTTTTTTGCCTCTCTGTTCTGCTAGTTAATATGGAGCGGCTGCCTATGCGCACTACGGCGGCGATGGGTTGGACAGGGCCACAGGGGGGGGAGGTAGGCAGCCAGCGAAGCCAAGGCCTGAGAGAGTCCAAACCATGCATGTCCCTCCCTAGTCAGCCTTCCAGACTCACTCCCCTCCCCCGGAGACTAGGTGGTTACATTGGCTGGTGTAACAGGTTACAAGCGGCCGGTATGATAGAACAGAGGGCGTGCTTCTTTGGCAGCTCCACCAACGGCCGGAAAGCTGCTGTAGGGAACAGGCATCGATCATGGCATATGAATATCAGGTGGAGGGTATCGATAGCGGTTTTTCTATCTCCCTTATTCTACTTGTTGGAGAGTGGCTGGCTGGCCGTTCTGGAAAGCCTCGGCACGTGGGACTGCGTCAATGTGAGCAGAAAAGCATTGATCAATTGTTTCCTCGTGGTGGGGCCCCTGGCGAGGAAAGAAGCAGGGACCTCCTCCCTCTATCCGCACTAGGGGAGCCCTTACTAAGATCCATCTCGCATCACGCTTCCAGGCCGGCCGGCCAGCACCAACATCAGCCCCCCCGGGGGGGAGGGGGGCCCTCATGTACCTGGCCAGGTAGGCACATGTACCTCAGTACTTTATCTCAGTGGACGGCAAGGGGCCTGTGCTGTGTGCTGTGTGTCTGCAAGAACCTTGTGCGCTCGGCTTGGGCTGAGGGCGAGGGCGAATCGGCCGAATACTGCGCCTTTCGTGTAGGGGGGCAGGGGAGGGACCTGCGTACCGCATGTGGCTGGCCATGTGTCGATTGTTGAAACGTGCCCACCACCAAGCACCGCGGCCAGTCGCAGGCGGCCAGCTGTCAAGGGCGGAAAAGAGCGCTTGCCCAGGCCTTCAAGACATGGCATTGGACGACGCCGGTTCTTTGTTCGAGAGGAACCACAAATAGTTGATGAACGGCCATGTCAGGAGTGCGGAAAAAAAGAGGGAAGGGAAGGAAAAAAAAAGCAAAGACAAACGCCCCCAAGAAGCCATATCCACTGGTCCGGACCAACCAACATGTGGGCTCGTGGATGAATCAAGAGACAGAGGAAGGGAAGCCACGAAAAAAAGCAAGTCTGTTAGGCCGCTGTTGGCGGTTGGTTTGCACGCCCTCGCTCTGCCACTCACCAGCCTCCCACGATGGAGCTGGGGCGGAATTGCAACGGAAAGAAAGGATGTGGAATAGCCAGGACAGGCATTCACAACCGGAGGAGGGTAAGGGGAACAGCCAGCGCAAAGCCTAACAAACAGAGGTTCCAAAAACCTCTCGTCACTGGCCGGGAGAACCCTTGCTAGCTCCTCAGACCGGTGGACAATCCTTCAATCGCGATAGCTTCCCCACCGTTTAGTCTACATACGTCTATCTTTTACGATCTAGCCTGAGCGTCTTGTCTTTTCAGCACCCAGCAATACCCATCATAACGCACACAATGGCCTTTCTCTATGAACATGATGCCTATGGGTATGTGGTTGTTGGCTGGATGGTGGAGACTTGCCTCTCCAGGCACAATGGATGCTTATGCGCACCTGTACCTCACGCCGTCTGACAGGTCCAGGAGGTATTGTAGGTACTTTCGCGCCTAGATGAGGATGGGAAGGGGGCCCTTGATGACAGTGCGTGATCCGCTGGAACTGCACAGTCGATTCCCCGTGCTCCAGCCCGTCTCTGCCTGGGGGAAAGGGCTGCTCCATCCGCACGTATCCGTATCACTATCTGCTGTGACACCCACGATCCTCCTGCCTGGTTGGAATTCGCGCATATACTCTATTTTTCGAAGGAATTAATGGCCTGTGAAGGACACTCTCGCTTTGCTCCAGGTGCCTGCCTGCCTTGCCGTCCTGCAAGGGTTGGGTTGATCACGTCTTTCAGCCGAGGCCAATCAGCTCCTTTTTCATATGATGCTGGGCACATCGACGGCCTCCGGCCTTGTGCTGGCAGCGTTGTTCCCCTCAAACTTTGTGAACTATATTGCGCTCGGATATTAATACGTAATCAATGCGGAACTGCCTGGAGCTAGAGGGTGCGATCGCGAGAGAGGAGCCGAAGGCCCCCTTCTCGCAACCTTGACTGCATCTTCGGAATGAACAGACGTCTGTGCTGAGATAGAGAATCTTGTCTGGAGTGGTACATGCACCCACGCGCGCACACGCACCCATTACGCATGTACATGCGTACTGCACATGAGAAATATGCCAGATCTCCTTCCCTGGACGGGATGGATCCTTGCAGGCGACCACGGCCAGACTTCCCAGGAAGCTAGGTAAGGTAGGCGATGATTCGACCACCCCCGGCCCAGCTAGCCTGGCCTGCTTCGGCGGGACTACCGAGCCTAGATGACCCTGTTAGATGATACATCTTTCAACGACAAGACAAGGGAAGCAGTGGGTTGAATCGCAAGCTGACCCAGCCTTGGGAAAGTCTCATGACGATGTAGGAACAGCCATGTCAATTTTTCTTTCTCAGAAACAAATTGCAAGAGGTTGGGGGGCCTTGCTTCCTCTGAGAGGGTTGGTTGATCGTGTCGTACATCCTGGACATGGTGGACGCTAAGACTTGTGACCTGTGATCCTGTTCGTGTCGGGTTTCATGATGCCATTTCCGGCTCTTCCATCTCATTTGCCCTCCGAAAAAACCGTTACTGAATGGAGGTGTGATTATAGTAGAAAACCTCGGTTCTCACTTTTTTTACCTATCAGTTGTTGTTTTTCATAATAATGAGTGAGACCCCAGCGCGTCCCGTGATAACTCCCCAGCTAACCCGCTCTGTCAATGGCTTGAAAGCGGTGAGGGATCAGTTGGCTTGCAAGCCTGCCTCTCTTGTGTCACTTGTCTCAGGCCGGAGACAGAAGCCGACCGTAATCAAAACAACCTCCATCATAACCGTTGGCTCTCATTGTCCGCCACAGCCTCACTGGGGGTGTTCGCCCGCGCCGCCTTGGCCCTGGTGATCCATCCATCATGGGCTTATTACTATCAGTGCGTCGTGTGCCAGGAGGGGGTTGCAGGCCGGGTCCCCGGAGAGTGAGGGGGAGGGGGGCTCTCACATGAACGGCCAGTTTTACCTGCACTGCCCTGTAGATCCACGGCAGCAGAGGCTGCTGATCGGAAGAAATGCTCTGGGGATGGAGCAAAGGCCGATGCAACATCCGCTGTGGCCCTGGACGAGAGAGGCGCCAAGCAAGCAGGTATGTGATTACATGTAATTACTGGGTACTACTTGGGCGGGATGGGTTAGTATCGTGCTGGCATGTCCGGCCTGTCCGGCCTCGGTGTGCGTGGTTTTAGGAGGGGGGCTTGCACATGCGCCGTGGACAGCAGATGAAGATATCAAAGATCAGACCCGGTGGGTGGTATGTCGTAGAAACTGCAGAATTTAGATCAGGTACGCGTTTGAGGATCTCTGATCATTGCTTCTAGCCTTGATTAGCGCATTCTGCCGCTCATTCTCCTGCATCGACCTGCAGGTTGGGGAGCCAGGCACGGTTTGCCGCACGTCACCAAACTCCCCTGCACATGTGCATATGGGCAGTGCCTGGAGACAGCGGCTAAGATCCATCCGCGGGCGTGGAGTGCAGCAAAGGGTTTCAAACTGTCGAAGGCGTCAAGCGCCAAACCATGTGCGTGAGCTGGGCACCGCATATGTAGGTGACGCTCGTCGCAAAAAGTAAAAGCTCAATCTATCAGAAATCATCTTGGATCGTCCTGCTACTGCCGGCTGTGTCATTGCGAGAGGTCACTGAATAATTTACGCATGTGCCAGAGCTCGGACCCTGCATGATTTGAGGGGGATTGAACCGCGCACATCAAACGACGGTACCTGCGCCCACTGCCGACGACTGATACAGACCGTGTCGTTTTTGTCCTTGTTTGCGATCAGTAACTCGTGTATCTCAACCTCCCAACACCGAGCATCGTATATCCGTAATTGGCTCCCAACTATTCTTTTCCTTTCTTTGGAATAGAATAGCCGCCAGCCTCCTAGATTTAGAGACACTATCTCGTTGGCAGCTCCAACACCCCAGCCACCAAGCTGAGTGTCTATTCTTCTTGGTAATCTGCGGTGGCGATCTGCCGCTTGTAGCTGCCTGTTGTAAGAAAAAATTGTGACAACTCTCCCCCCTAGACCTTATCTTTCTCTAGCCCTTGCCCACGCTAGGAGGTAGTCAGCAGCTAGGACGAAGCGGGAGGAGCAGCAGCCGCCAGCAGCGAGAAAGGGAGGCTGGGCTTAGCTAGCCGGCGCTAATAACTTAGAGATGAACTGGTCAAACAACGACGGTGGTCTTAGGGCGGCAGATGATTGGGCCAAGGTGCGCCATGTCTTGAATATCCCTGGCCGTTGGACTTGTCGTGGCTCCGGCGGCGCTTGCGCAAAGGAGGGGACGGAAGACACAATACGTACGATACAGAAAAAGAAAAGAAAGCAAAGCTAGACACCGGGAGCAGCCCTGCTTGCACCCAGTGAGGGTGTATCACTCGTACGAGTCAGCACTGATAGGGCTGGGCCAAGGAGAGCAGAGACCAGTACCCATATTGAGGAGGTACCGCAGACATCTGGCCTGCGGAATCCCAGCAAATGCTACGATAGCGTGCGGAGAGCAGAGCTCCCGCCAGAGCACGGGTACGTGTCTGCACCTAGCAGATGAAAGCCCACTACTGTGCTTTGCCGTGCAGTCCAGGGCAGGGCAAGCACAGGGGTTGCTGGCTGGCGGTGGATCTTTGCCAGCCAAACGCTGGAGCATGCATTGTGCATCGTATCGTCCATGGATGATGCTATTAGACCTAGAAGCATGATATTAATAAGGACGGGAGGGTCCGTCCAGATGGGAATCGGACTTTAGAGGATGAGGACGTCGGCGTTGACAGCCCGGCTGAAGCTGGCCCTCGCGAGAGAGAGAGAGATGGCTTTGCCACTGGCTGAGTGCCCTCCACGTAGCTTGCCTGTGCTCTTGGCATTGAATGCGGGAATTGGAGTTGGGCTGGAAAAGGCATCTTCCCCTACCTACCCGTACGAGCTAAGCGATTCGATCAAGCAGTAGTCTCCGGCCGTGTTGGTGCTGAGCAATCGTATAGGACGGTGCTAAGTATCTAGCAGCAATAGCAAGCGGCCATCTGTGTGCAGGGCCGACCTGCCTACTGCACTTTAGCGCACGATGGGCGAGATTTGCTCCATTCCGCCATGTACCCCAATTCTCATGTATGTTTGTGGGTAGGGCATTGTCCTCTTTTTTACCTTTCATGCCGAATGCCTTTCCGTCGCAGCAAACGTCCCCTGGGGCATCCTGCTCGCACTGTGCTCCCTTTCGCTCCTGGCCCGGCCCAGGCCAATGCCAGCGCTGAGGGTGGTGGAAGCGACTCCAGCTGGCGCCAGCACAACATCGAAATCCCGCCCCATCCAGGGCCCTCAGAAGAATCCTGGTACGACGGTGTTCCACCCACGCCGCCTCCAGGCCACCCCTGTCAGCACACCTTCGACCTCCCTTGACTTCCTCTTCGGTCCCAGGCGCTGGATGGGGCGCGCTGGGTTGGAGTTCCCTATCGCACCCCTGCCCACGGGATACCTCTCCAGGCCTCCACCCGCCTCTCAACAAGGGCAGGGGCCTGCTAGCAGGTCACGGCGCAGAGCAGAATGAGGGCGAGAGAGAAAAAGCCGGGGATTTTCAATGGGTCGCTGGAGCACTCGCCGCTGGGAATTGGCTGGCAGTCTGTTTAGGTAGGTAGGTTAGGTAGGTCGGCAGGCCGTGAGCTGTGGCACCAGCGCGGTGGTGGGCAGTGGCTAGGAGACCTGCATCATCTGCAGTGGTGCATGGAAGACTGGGCTGGGCCGGCATTGGCATCGCAAACGCACGATTTGGCCGTGTATCTGGGATAGACTTCTCAACACTATGACGAGAGACAAAGACCCATGGGAAGGGATCTGAGGTGAGGATCAAGCAATCGCTCTAGGAATCGATCACACGACGTAGCTGCCACGCGCTTGCCTCCTAGAACCAAAGCCAGACAAAGAAAGAAGCCTTGCCTTGGAGGCTAGAGTCAATTTGAAACCCCCCCTTCGCCATCTACTGACCGCCACCGACTTCAAAGAGACGGCGGCCGGGAGGTGTCAAGGTTGCTGTACATCTGATTAGGCTTTAGGGGTACTTGGGCAGGTACTTGGGACCGGGGTCTGCTCAGCACCCTACCAGGGTGGGCTGGCAGTAGAGTTCAGGTGCATGCTGTAGGGCCATTCAGCAATGGTCGACGGGTATAAAAAAATAGGATGAATAAACAGAACCTTGTGTTTGTGTGCGGGAAACTATAATCTATGGATCTGCAGGCGCCTTCTATTTGGCGAATTGCTGTAGAAATCAAAACAACACGGCTCTGGCCAACGACGCTCGCTCAGGTCCCGTTGCCCAATTCGCGTTTGCTTGGCCGTCCCGCCGTGTTCGCCAGCAGAGCACAGCACACATGTACGTCCACACACACTCGCACTCACCCACACACCCCCACACAATACCCACCGCGGGCAAGGTACAGCGCAGCAGGGTGCGCTGCTAAAAAAAACCGACAAGGGGGTCTCCCAAGTCACAACACCCACCACCGCCGGTACCTCCGCGGGCTCGCCCTTGTACAGGCTACCTCCAATTCGACCTCGCCCATCTCGCTACCTGGCCCTGACCCGATATTCCCTGCATCTCCCGGATCTGTTGGGTGCTAGCCAGTGACTTGCCGTCACGCCGCCGACGCAGCGTCTGCAAAGTACCCGGTCTGCTAACCCAGGCTAAGGCCAGACCCGACTTGGCCTGGGCAGACCAGACCACCGTCCATCGGGCTGGGCGTGTGAAGAGCCACCACTACGAACAAAAGACAGACCACCTCCTCCCCTCTGGCGACCTCCACCAAAAAAACAAAACCATCCCGGGCCCGGACGAAAGCCTCTCTCGTCTTTGCACTTGTCGACCTCCGGGACCTTTTCTTCGCCCCTTCTCTTTTTCCTTTCTTCTTTTCCCTCCCGACAGCAGTCCGTCGCCGGCCCCCTCAATTTCGAATATCCCCCCTCTCTTTCCATCTCTCCACCCCCCGGCCACGCCTCTCAAGGCGAGGAAGAAAGGTAGGTGCAGTATCTACGCACTTATTCTCCGCCCACCTTATGCTCCTTGCCGCCCGCGGTCCTCTCACGCACGCTCCGTACACACACACCACACCCAGGCACACCCCCCTCCAGCCCTCCCAATCCTTTTTTAACCTACTCTGCCGCTGCTGCTACTGCTTGCTGCTTGTCTTGCGCAACCTCCCTTAATACTTCCCCTCCTCCCGGATCTCCAACGCGGCTAATCGTCTGCATCGTAGCAGTGAGCGGCTTGAGAAGGCAGAGAAGCAGAGAAGGAACTCTTCCCTTTCCTCCACAATCGTTTACTTCCGCAGCTGTGGTTGTGTTGTGTGCTTGCGAACCCTCGATCCTCTCTCTCAGACACCGCTGTCCCGCGCGCCGACGAGATCCTCTCCTCCCACTTCTCTACCTCCCCCAATTGCAGTTTTTTGCTCTCTCTTCTCCACGGCCTTTCAGTCCTCCCCAGAGTGTCGGCTTGTCTTTTGTTGTTGTTGCCGCCGTCAGCTTTCTCGTCTGCTCACACTGCGCTTCCAGCCTTCGACCTTGTAATACTTCTTTCCAACCGATTGGAGTCCGACCACGACTGTTTCGTGCAGCGTCAATCGATTTTCAGCAACGGAATTGACCTTCCCTCGAGCCCGCACCCCGTGTTACGATTGAAACGAACGAGTTTGATGCCCTGTTACGAGTAACACGCATCTTGCCACGACCGCCTTTCTGAACCAATTCTCTGGTTACATCTGCCGTTTTAAAGTATCTTTACTTCTGTACCAGCAGCAAGCGGCGCGATTCTCGTCCTCGAAAACCTCGTTTCGTTGCATTTGCTATTGTGGTGCATTTCTTGCCAGGGATTAACCCCAATTGATTGCCCATCCGCGTGTGTTCCAATTGTCTGTTCCCCAAAGGTGTGATCGGTATAGCCTCCCTCCAGGGCGTTATTATACCGTATTCAAAGCCCCTTGGAAAGAAGTGAAGGTTGGGCTTCTTTGAAAAGTACCCTTTCTCGCCCAGTCCAGTGCGCTCTCGAGCGCTTTTCTTGTATGAATACCGCGAGACGACACTCTCAGCCTCAGCTGCCACCCGGCCAGGCATACTCGTCAGGATTAGTTTCTCCCCCCATACCATCCATTGCGTCCTCCAACGGCTCTCACACTGGATCGCTCTCGTCCTTCACCTCAATCAACTCCTCCCACGGGCCTAAAACTCCTTCGCCCTCTATTCCTCTCAACGCCATAACCGCCGCCGCCACCCCAATCGCCAGTTACGACGCCATGAATCCTGGCGGACCAGACATGTACTATCAACCGCACATGTCGGCTGGGCAGCCTCAACCACCCCAGACAGTAACATCCAGCGCCATGCCTCATTATCAGCACCCTCAGCCGCCTCTGCTTCAGCCTGGCCACCAATACTCACCTGCGGCACCTTCTTATAATCCCCAGTATGCATATGCCGGCGGCCTCACTTCGCCACCTGCGGCACCCGTCTCTGGAGCCATTGGAAGTAGCCAGCCAAATGTTCTGCCGTTGCCGGGTGTAAATGGCCAGGGCGCCATGAGCCAACATTATTCGTTCGATACCACTGGGCAACAGCCTCCTCCAGGCATGAAGCCCCGTGTTACAGCAACTCTCTGGGAAGATGAGGGCAGTCTTTGCTTCCAGGTCGAAGCTCGTGGCATCTGTGTCGCTCGCCGAGAAGGTAAGTTTCCGGTGCTCCGTGACAGGTTAAGAGGGAACGCAGTTAAAAAGGACTCTTACTAATTATATTCTCAAGATAATCACATGATTAATGGCACAAAGCTGTTGAACGTTGCGGGAATGACCCGTGGTCGACGAGATGGTATTTTGAAGAGCGAGAAGGTCCGACACGTCGTCAAGATCGGGCCTATGCACTTGAAGGGCGTCTGGTATGTTTTGATTGCCATTTGAGACATCCTTTTCAACTACCCCGCTGACGCAGTACAGGATTCCATATGAGCGCGCTCTGGATTTTGCCAACAAGGAAAAGATCACAGAATTGCTGTACCCTCTGTTTGTGCACAACATTGGATCCATGCTCTATCATCCCACAAACCAGAGCCGTACATCACAGGTTATGGCCGCGGCGGAGAGGAGAAAGGCTGAGCAGCAAGGACAGCAGCTCCGCACACCTCCAGCCGGACTGCCGTCGATTAACTCGCAACAGTCTCACCCTATGAGCTTACCTGGTCCTCAACCCTCGTTGCCCTCGAACAGCATAGGTCGGCCACCAATGGACCGTGCTCACACATTCCCCACCCCTCCCACGACAGCGTCTGGAGTTATGGGAAATATTGGTCCCTCGGAAAGCTTCAACTGGCAAGGTCAGGGTATGAACGGCACACAAGGCGCAAACCCAATGGGTATGGAGCCAAATGCCCGGTCGATGCCCAACACGCCAATAACTACTCCTCCCTCTCACATCCAGTTTGGATCCAATTCCTCTGGCTATGATACCGCTTCTCGGCCCATGTATAACGGACCATCATCCCAACACGCATCATATGCGCCTTCTAACGGTGCAAACGATCGAGTCTACGCACCGGGTCCTTCATATCCTAAGCATGAAATGGCACCGCCATCTAACCGACCCTCAGGACACGGCGCTCCAGCTGAGTCGCAGGACGCGAAGCCACCGAATGGCGTTTTACCGAGCGAACACGCTGCTCAGCCTCATGGAGAGGACGATGACAACCATGAGCATGAGCAGGAGTACACTCATGACAGTGGGGCTTATGAAGCTCATCGCTCCTCTTATAACTACACCGCCCCTGGCGTGGGAGCTCTGACAGGTGATGCCAACGTCCACCCCGAGATGACGGGCTCGCCTAACCACCCCACAGGTTCAGGGCGTGCGACCCCGCGAACGACTGGTCCGACGAACACTTACTACCCTCACAACAATGGGTACGCAACTCCACCTCCATCTCGTCAGCCGTCTAGCAGTCTGTATAGTGTCATTACTAACGATCGCTCCTCTAGCAACGGTGCTTCTGGAAATGGCGTATACAATCCCGCCGACGATATGAATCACTCAATGCCCAACGGCTACTCTCAGCCTCCAGTCCATAACGGGATGAAGAGAGGTCGAGACGACGACGGTGACCACTCACGGGCTGGCGGTCCTGGTGACATGGGCCCCCTTGATCTCAAGCGCCGAAAGACCTTGGAATCATCGGTACCAGCGCCAGCCTATGATGCGATGAACCGACCCGCCTCAGCAATCAGCGGTGGGCCACAACAACGATAAGACTTGTTGGTGCATTTAGACACCCGGAGTGGTATGCACAACTGGCGTTCAATACGTTCAATAGAGGGACCTAAAGCCCACAAAACATCCGAAGCTGTGCGGATGCAGAAGGGCCAAATTACTATCAGGGATTGGCGTCTCCAGTAGACGGTCACTTGAGGAAACGGCAAGTGAAGTTTGCATGGACTGGTCTGCCCAAATCCAATCATCATTCTTTCTCCTTTCTTCTGTTTTCATTTTTGACCTTGGTTTATTATGCGCTGGGAAGCGTTA